AGAAAACTCTGTGAAAGATTGCGCAGTCAAATTACGTTGTATTTTGCTTATTAGTCCACCCGTCCGCATGTGAGGAGTTGAAAATGCACCTGGCTTCGTGTGTCTATGTGTCTGAACAACAACTAGGTTTTTCATACCAATCATTTCCAGCAACTTCTGCAGGATGCGCCTTTTTATTTTTTTAAATTGCTTCTTCAGGACACCTTCACATTCACCATGGATGACCTCGCGAAGTGTCTGCCAGCGGGGCGTCAAGAGAATGGCAGTAACTCGTCCGATACAGAACCGATCCAGGAGAAGAATAATCTCGACAATGTCGTTATAAAACGGGTGAGTCTTCAGATTTTCTACCTCATCCTAGAGCAGCTGTAAAGCATTCAAAAACATAAAAAACATGATTGAGTGGGGCTGAGTGCTAAGAAAAACCACAATACTTTGCAAATGTTATTGAGAGTTATTGCAGGTTAGTGCATTTGTGTAGGATATTGACGCAAGGACTAAGAATAAAAACCGATTTTGTGAAGTTCACGCTCAGCATTGTTCATTTTTTTGGATATTAGCTTTTCGCAGCCGTTGTACTAAGCGAATCCACGACGAATGTACGTGCAGTAGGAGAACGCGAGTTTCTTTGAAACCTTACAGTAGTATTACAATAAAGCTGTTAAGTGGGAAAAAAACCTGCAGCTTTGCAAGTACTTGTCGTTGATAAGGATGTGCACGTGAACCGATGTGATAAGAGCAAAGTTAGATTTCATACAACATGATTCACCTTCTGTCTCTTCATGTACATTTATGAGAAGCGTCAGTTTTTGATTTAGGTTCCATGATTAGCAGAAACATAGAGCTGGTCAAACCTAAAGTTCACTTCTCACATTATGTTACCCTAGTCAAAGATTGATGTTTACTTTGAGTATTGCTCTACATTTCCTCACAGCCATTCGCTCATGTTGTTTAAACCGCGCGAAGCTGACCATCATATTGGAAATCATAAATTTTATGTTCCAGGCAGTAACATTCGATGATCACGACGAGGACGCGACTAGAGAAGCCCCACTGATATTGAACTCCCGGAAGATGAGCAATGGAAATGGAAATGTGAAGAGAAGCATACCACCAACGTTGAAACCTGTGGTTGATGCTCGTTTGAATAGCCCGGAGGTAGAC